TACTTTCACTTGAGCACAACTTATATGCACTGTAGCGGCAGTACTAGAAAGTCACCAGCAGATGGAGGTAGTCATGCATTGTGTACTGCTTAGTAGTTCTGGCGTTATTATGTTTTATTTTATGTCAGTATATTGGTTTAAGCATTAGGTTTATCAAGTTATAAATACAGGCATATTTTGTGCAGGTAGAATCATTAGAACTCTCAATTAATTGGCCTTTCTCACTACATAAGCAAGCCTTGAAATTGGTGGAAACATTAATTTCCCCTGAATTTCGATACTAAGGAATATTTTTTGATACCACAGTGATAATGTAACAATTTTTTAGACCGTATAAGGTCATTTTTAATACTAAATGATAGCGCTGTGATTTATTTTACCATTTGGTGTTCTAGTGGTTCCGATAAAGATTGTTCAAAAACCTTTCGGGAATGGTAAAATTTTGTGTGTTTAAATGATATGTTTTGTATCAGTAGGCCTACTTGCTCAAAGGAGTATTTACTTTTCATACTAGTTTTTGTATTGATTAGTACCTGATTTTTTACTTTTTGACAACTGTAGGCCCTTCAGTGCATGTCACTGTGCAGTGAACTTGACTTCACTTTCTAACTGTGAGTAGCAGGGTCAGCTCACCACTTCTCCATACTATAGACTGCATGTAAAATCTATATGAGATACATCTATAGAGAACTGTCCCATGGGAGAGTGCAGTGGTGGTGCAGTGCAGAGTTAGTGCTGCTCAGAATACAGATTGCCAAAAGTTCCATTGGTGCTTTACACAAACACACTACACATTTCATACCGAGATTGCCGTAAACCTTGTGAAACTGTTGAGTGGACATAGGAGTGTTTATGAGTTCATTCATTCATTTGTGGTAAACTACCTCACAATACGTTGTTTTCTTGTATTACAAACTGCTTTAATAGTCCTATAGTACAACATGGATTCTTGTGAGCGTTAAGCCATGTTATAATGTAGCGCACTCCTCAAAAACATACTTGGAGTTGTGCTTTGTTTCATTCATATATGTTTGAGTAACCCTTTAAAATCATCCCTCCAAACCTCAAAGTGCTCCATACCACCCTGTGATTTAATGAAGTGGTAGTTTTCAAGTTAACAGCTACATTTAATCTTTTGTTTAGTAGAAATAGAAAATTCCAGGGCTGAAATCATTCAAATTATTTTAATGAAGGTGTATGGATTTTAAAAAACACAGTGGAGCACTTCCTGTATTACCAGATGTGTTTTCAGAGAGAGAAGACTTACCCTAAATATGCAGGATTTGTGTGTTCAGGGTATGTTTTTGGTGAGGAAACAACATAAGCATAGATCAGAAAACAGTGTAATATGGGTCCTGTAAAGGTGCAATATGTAGGCTAATTCCTCTGATGGTGATGTCTGTAAAAGTGCCTTGAAAAATATAAATTCTTATTATGAACTGACTCACTTAAATGATCCTGACCTTTAATTTGATCTGGTGTTACCTCCTTGTGCCCATATGAGCTAAGTTCAGTTTAAAGCAATGCTATGGAACATTCTTGACACAGAAATAACATCTCCATAGCAACAGGAGGTGACAGGCCCTGCACCAAAATAGTTATACAGTGTATCTTTAAGCTCCATCTTGTTTGAAAGGACGCTCCAAAGTCAGCACCCGCACTAAAAAGTTGCCTTACACAGAGCTATAACCCCATAAACCACGCTGTATAGAAACTCGTGTATAAAATGAGTTGTGTTTGATAAATCTCCCGTGCTGTATGTGTATTTAGAGATAAGTGCTTGCTGTTGCTTTTCTGTTATGTTCATCACTCTTTTTCTCCAGGAAAAGCTGAACAAGACGCCTGGTATTTGCCCCATAAATTGCGAGTGCAGTTTCCTCGCAGTATCTCCTATGGTACACATACAAGCCTTACACTGAGCGAAGATGATTATAACATTTAATCACTGGCCCTATCGGCGCACAGGCCAGCCTTCTCCCCCCCTCCTCCTCGATTTGATTTACCCGCCCTCTTCCTGGCTGAAAATCTCATCCAGCAGACGGATTGCTACACTACGGGCCACTATAAATCATTCTTTAATCACAGGGTGGTGAGATTGGGCGCTGGCACCCCTGGGAGCAAGCCGTGTGACACCCCAACTCCTCCCCTGCGCGTCCACCAAAAGGAGAGTTTTGATTCCTTTTCCTGTTTCACACCTTAGGCTTGTCTGCATGTGTATCAGTCACCGTGGAAACTAAGAGGGATGACCCAGGCGTGCGTACGGGGCCCACGCCCATGATTACTGTACCTGGGGGAGGAGAGGAGCCATGCAGGAGATATCCCACGACAGATGGGTGCTCTAAGGTGCAGTGTGGGGCAGTGGCGAGCTTAGCAACAGGCGCTAAATTCTACTCAGTAAATACTCGCAATAAAGCTTTAGGAGTAAAACAGAGGACACAAGGAAGTGCTGACAAATACTGATATTGTATTCAGCTGGTGTTTTGTAAGATAAAAATAAGTACAGACTGCACTGAACCCAAGAACCTCTTAGCTCAGCCTGGGAATTTAACTATTTTTGAATAGTTTTACTTTCTATGGAGTAATAATATGTACTACTTCAGTATTCATGGGCAGTTCCATGTGTTGAAACTGTATTATTATATCTTTCAAACATACTCAAGCTCCTCATAAAAAAATTACAGAACATCTGGAAAATTTAACTCCTAAAAATCTCGTTACAATATGTTTTCCAATTCAGCTCAGCAGGTAAGAATTAATGCAGCAGTTAGTTAGGTTTATATAACTCAACAATTTAGAATGAATTATCAGTCTTTTCATGGTATTTGTGAGTTCTCAAACTCACCCACTGAGGATTTTCACTGTAAGGACAGTTGGGTGGGTGGACCAATCACAGAATAGCATTGAGGTTTGCATCGAGGCTATGGGCCCAAGTGAACCAAAACAAACATGGCGACACTGACAGATGTACTTCAGCCTATTCAATACGGACTATTTTTTTGTGACAAATGTGCAGAAGGTAAGAGCTTTGTGCATTTGTGGACAGGGGAGATGTCTGTGCTTTTCTCTCAACAAAACAAAAGTTAGATTTTTCGGCTTGTTGCGCTGTTGTAACGTTTCGACCAATCAGATTCAAACAATCATTATGACGTTGATTGCTTTTAGCAAGAACATCTCAGATTGATAATATGTAGAACTCTGTTCAGAGTGCTACACATATCAATCAGACATGAGCCAGGTTAGTAAAAATATATTGCAATATTTTAGTAAAGCTCTAGTTCCACCCAATATCAATGCAAAAACCGAAAGACTGATATTTTTTTTGTTATGTCTTTAAAACACATAGTAAATAAGTAAGGAAAACAGCAAACTGACCCATTATGGAACACATTCTTCAAATAACTATAGAAGTATGACCCTGACTAAATCAAATAACAGATAACAGAATACCCCTGAACTGACATCCAGTCCAGCCAAGTTCTGCTGGTACAAACCACACAGAATACCAATATCCCTGTTTCACAACTTATATTCCATTTTAGTTGCTATAGCAATATACAGCTTACACTGGAACCCACCGTCGTGAGTCATCTCATTAACTTATTAACTCCATTCATCAACTGAACCTTCACATTTTGGTACAGAAACTTCTTCCATTCAGGCCAGGGTTAAATCAGTTATCTATCCATTGGTTTCAGAGGGATGAAAAATGTGCACTGTTGTCATGTCAATGAACATTTTTTTTTTTAGCTTTTACCACACTTACGTCATATGCTTCATTTTCTGCTTTTTGTCATTCAAATAATATTTTATTTGAAATTATTGATGCTACATCATCTGTCCTATATTTTCATCATTTTAAAGGTAAAACAATGAATGATTTGGGGCCAGCATTACCAGCATGTTGTATTTGGTGTCATAGAAAGTGCACAGGAGGAGGTGATGATTTGCCACAGCTCTCTTAGGTTCATGTTTCTTGTTCTGCTGTGAAGAGAGCTGGAGTCAGAGAGATGAGAGCAGAACACGGTTTAAATAATAAATGTCCTCAGATGTGTTTAATGTCTGTGTTCCCACTAACTGGCTTTTCATGATGGCACTATATCCAGGGAGGAAGTTCACAGGATTTAAAGGGCCATGGTGTACTAATGGTGTATTTTGAATATCTAGAGAAATATCTCCATATCTTACATTACATTCAGTGTATTTATAACATTGTATAGTTCATTCATTCATTAGGGAAGGACAACATTTGGAGATGGAGTAAAGGGTTTGGTCAGGTTCTTGAGACAATGGTTTTGTCAATAGTGAGTTTGGACAGTGATCTACAGTTGGGATCGGGTCAAGTCATGATGTTTCAATATTTTGCATTGCATCTGCCAAGATTGTTGCAGTAAGTTTGATAGAAATGTTTGGAATTAAATGCAATTTTCTTCAGTAGTAACCAAGGTATTCCCAATAGCAGAAGTGTAATTGGATAGAAGCTTATTTTTTCAGACAGTTATTCATGAGTTTGAGAGTGATGACAATCTAACAGCATTACCATAGCAATTATCAGTTCAATTATTTTATCTTTTGAAGGGTGTAAAGTCCTCAAAGGTTGCCTATAAGTTAAACACAATGTTCTTAAATCTGGATAAAACTCTTCATCATATTTCATTCAACAAAACTGACTAAAATCGCAACTCTCCCTGTTAATGTAGGAGAATCTCGTCCACACTTTGTACCTTATGGGCCGCGTGACGTCACTTCACTGTACGCTTTTGCTTTGGCTCAGTGCGCTCCGAGCTGACAGTCCGCTCAAGTTTCCAGAGCGCGAGTTCCGAGCGCGCTCCGAGACGATGCTCTCCAGCGCGTGCGAGGAGGATGACACCGCCGGAGCGCGCTGGGTCCGGAGAAGTGGCTGAAAAGCGAGGAAAGTTGTTCTTCTTTAATACCTATTTTAGAAGAGCACCGAGATTCTGTGGGATGGACAGGTAGACGCTGAGAACCATGCGTGTTAAGACATGGCATGGGCGCTCCTCTTCGCTCGACTCGTCCCCTCCTCGCACCGGCTCACAAGGACGTCCCTGTGCTTCCTTTCGATCTTCTTCACGTACGCGTGCTATTGCGTCTTGTTTCCCGCGGAGAGCTTCATGCAGAAGTCGGCTGAACCCACTCCGGGCTGTGTGCGCCACCAGCACAAGAGACCAAGGAACGTGGAAGCGCATCCAGTGCGTCTCCATACGGCCACACGGGACACTCCTAGTCCTCCTCTGAGTAGTATGAAGTTTGGGAACAAAAAGTTACCCAAAGCGATCATCGTGGGGGTGAAGAAAGGAGGGACCAGAGCGGTGCTGGAGTTTATCAGGATTCACCCGGACGTGCGCGCAGCCGGGACGGAGACGCACTTCTTTGACAGGAACTATGATAGAGGACTCGAGTGGTACAGGTGAGAGCGGCACCACTTTCACTATTATTGACTTTATAAATGATTCCTCTGTACACGGAGGAGCGCTGGTGGAATTTTGCTATGGCTAGAGGCTAGTTTAGCAGTTTTTGGCTATAAGTTATAATGCCATATAGACTACCAAATATCAATATAGACATGAACATTTTGTGTTATTCTTATATGTAAGTACAAATAGGATAATGGTTTGAATAAAAGCTTGTATTCACTGTACAAATTACTGTTACTCCAATCCATCGTGATGAAAGGGTTTGGTGCATATGATATGAGACACATTGATTCACTCAACCGCCTATATAACCATGATATACTTTATTTATATAATATACACAAATTATTTACACTTGCAAATCAATAGTATATTCTCTACACAGTTACTGGAGCCTATTCACCTTTGAAGTGATGCATAGGTCCAGAAATAATATTGCATAGTCTAGAGTGAGAAGAAACACCCATAGATGCATATGTTTAATGTCATACCATAGAACATTCCAGCCAAAGCAATAACATCTCCATGGAGACAAGTAGGTAGCGGACCCTCCACCAGAAAAGTTGCGCAGTGCACCTTTAACTCCTATCTTGACTTAAAATCAGAGGTCCATACGTTCAATGCAGGTTGCAGGGACGTCAATGAACTTCATTACACAAACATGATTCAGTCACTGGAGTTTTGTTCACTTAAATATTCACAACTAATGGGCAAGGTAATTTAAATATGTGAAATTAAACTCATCCTTTGCCAACTACATGTACCATTCAAAATAATTACAGTGGCTTTCAAATGATGTGAACAGAAAAAATATTGTTGAACTGGAGGAGAAGTGTAGGCTTTTGGACCACTGCTGTTTAGCACAATTACATAACAGAGCCGTCCAAGCTCACACTCCATTTTGTGTCATAATTAACATATTTTGATGAAACTTTGGCTTGGACATTACCCAGAGCGTTACTCATTTTATGTTTGGTGCATGTTTTTCCTGATAGCCGCTGCTTTGATCACGACTGTGTTTGCTAATGTACTTAATGAAAAGAGGATAGATGGATTCAGAGTAGAGTTATCTGAGGAGCTGACAAACCACTGTCTCTCCCCCGCTGGGCTGTCTGATTCACACGCACACCCCCCATGAGCCCGCTGCAGGACCACCATCTTCTCATATACTCTCCGAATGGCTTTCTCAGCTTCATATTTTCTCATATTGAGTCCCGAGTTCTGTTGATATTGGCCGACCAACGGAAGTGCCTTTTTATGTCGAGCAATTCATCACATTTCTGAGTGAAATCAGATTTGGAAGCCCTCAGGAGGCAAGGGAGAAGAGTGTTGAGGGACTCACAGCTGCCAGGCCCCATGGCGGCTGTTGTTGTTTACAGTTCGGCTTGTATTTTGAAACTAATTATGTGGTGTACTGGTAAGATCTGAATGATAAAAATGTGTGCCAAATTCATGTTAATGAACTGTCCATGGATTTGATTTGGAAGTATAAAAGAATGTTCATTTGTTCAAATAAATAGATAGAAATGCTACTGCGGTGACAGAAAAGTTGCACAGTGAACCTTTAACTCATATCTTAGAATGTTTGTCCCCATATGGAAGGCAGGTTCACATAAGTTGAGTGTGTGTACCGATATTAGCCCCCACAATGTGATAAATACTTGCCTACCTACCTACTGCACAGATGCACTTGCCCACACTTGACCTTAATAAGATGTTTTGGTCTATTGTCTGCAGGAAAACCCAGAGAATATGTGCCACTGTTTAATACACTGCAGCACAATACATAGCATTATACTACAGTAGGCCCTAGTACACCGCAGTACACCGCAGTACACCACAGTACTCTCTAGTATCAGTAATGACAGGGTGCATGCATCGCCCTAATTGGCCTCTTCAGCCTGGGCCTTTTATCAGTTTGAGTGAGAGGTGTGAGGCCGGGCCTATTAACCTCAGTGAGTGTCAGCTGTCAGAGCGCCCACTAAAGGTCAGGTACCACTACTGCCTCCTCAACACGCTCTAGAAATATTTACCTCTCTGCTCCATCATAAACCTGTCAGCAATGTCCCCAAAACACCTCAATTAGTGTCACTGTCAAGATGCAACAACAACTGAAGAAGAAAAAAGGAAATCAGGTGTTTGTGTAGTCCTAGTTTCAGTGCAGCATTCTCAAATTAGAGTAAAACACAATATAAAAGAGCTGTGTTTTCTAAATCTGCATGATGCCCTTGATTTTGGTAGAGAATGAAATAAGGCAACACGTCATTCAGTTGTGACCCTCTTCTAAATTGGTTTTGTCAACATTTAAAGTTATTTCTGTGGTGGGGCTGGTCCGGTGTCACTGCAGACCACAGTGGCCTACTTTCACACTCACTGTTTGTATTGGTGGTGATTTATTACCCTGATCCGAGCAGGAGCTGTCTCACACTAGTCTCCTGTGACACCGGACCACTACCTGCTCCTCCTATTATCATTTACATCCTGAGAGCTGGGACTCAGACACTGTTGTATAAACTCACCCGTGTAATCCTGTCCTATATAGGACTGTATTTTTAAAGAGCAAATGCAAGGACATGAAGTGCGCTGAATCCATTGAACTTTCAGGTAATTGAAGCAGCTCAGTGAGACAGAAACATGTGTGAGAATATCTGTCTGTGTCTCCACAGGAGTCTGATGCCACGCACACTGGACTCTCAGATCACCATGGAGAAGACGCCCAGTTACTTTGTGACCAAAGACACTCCTCAGAGGATCTGCACCATGTCCCGGGACACGCGACTCATCGTGGTGGTGAGGGACCCAGTCACTCGTGCAATATCGGACTACACACAGACTTTGAGCAAAACACCAGACCTGCCCAGCTTCCAGGAGCTGGCCTTTAGGAATCAGACCCTGGGAATTGTGAACACTTCTTGGAACGCCATCCGCATCGGCCTGTATGCGCTGCACCTGGACAACTGGCTGCGCTTCTTCCCTCTGGCTCAGATCCATTTTGTGAGCGGAGAGCGTCTTATCACAGACCCAGCAGGAGAACTGGCTCGGGTACAGGACTTCCTGGGTCTGAAGCGTATTGTGACTGACAAACACTTTTACTTTAATCGCACCAAAGGCTTCCCCTGCCTGAAGAAGCCAGAGAGCAGCGGCTCCCCACGCTGCCTGGGCAAGTCTAAGGGCCGAACACACGTCCAGATCGACAGGGACGCCATCGAGCAGCTACGAGACTTCTACAGACCCTATAACATACGCTTTTATGAAATGGTGGGCCACGACTTTAAGTGGGAGTAGGGTTTTTAAAAGGGAGATCAAGGGTGAATGCAGATGGACAGAAAGCCACTTCTCAGCACTTTTCAGCTGTTATTATTTGTGAACACAAACACAGGAAACCGGTCAGTGACGGTCAGCATCAGCAGCTGCTGTGTGGTAAATAGAGCCATGAGTCCAGCCTGAGCCTCTTCATATTTCTCTCTTCTGTATGTTTCTGCTGACAGGAGGCTCTATTTGCTGACTGGTTTCTGTATAAAAAGGGAGTTTTGCAGGGACTAGTGGGATTAGTTCATCTTAAAAACCTGCTGCACTAATCAAGGCAAGGCTTGAAAGCAAGACCTTGGAAAATGTCAGTGAAGTCTGAGGGGAGAGCAGAGTTAAGCTGCACACTGTGCTGCTGCTGCTGCTGCTGGGGCCATCTTAAATGCAAAGCCATACTGATGATGAACTGAGAATATCACTTCTATAGATCCACATCATTCTCAAAGCATGATGCACTTCTGTGGGCACTCGCAGAGCTCTTCATTCTACAGCCCAACGCTTGTTAACTACTGCCATTAAACAAACAGAAGCACAATTAACTACTTGGTCTTGGCTTATTTTGTTCTGTCTTGGAGTTTTAGTTTGGAAATCATTCAAAGTGAAAAAGTACTGTAACTCTGAAATCACTTCAAATCAAATCTCATAGTGAACATGTAATAGCTCTTTTTCAATTCAGTGGCAGCAACACATGTTTTAAGGTTATAAAATTAGCATTACAGAAGATTCGTCAAGTGCATCTTTGGTCTTTTGTTTACTCTGTAAGTGTTTGAGGTGTCTCCATCATTTTTTGAATTTTATCTTAAATTTACCAGCTTCCAACAAACATACCAAAAACATTGCACAGTGTAAAGCTTTGTTCATCATAATGTGTGTGCCATTTCATTAGGATTTTTGGATTTGGATCTGTTTTTCTCCAGTCAAAACATCCCGCTTTGAGCTTGTATTGCCTTGTGTGGGGCGTGTTGTGTGCTGGAGCTGCTGGCTGTAGGAGGATGAGTGGATGTAGGTGTGAGGAATTTCAATCACACATTCAAAGACAAAGGAGGGAACAGCGCTCCGTGGCAGGTTATCAAACACATTGTGGGACTACTGGGTCACATGATTGCAGTCAGAACTTTGGCATTTGGAAGCAAGCGCTGAATGCTAAAGCAGCAACGTCGTCTGTGTCTGCTTCACTTTATACAGTCCTACAAATGAACAGGTACAAAGTGTTGGGAAACTATTTATACACTGCATTGTGTTGTCTAGACATGTGCTACATGACTTTAACTAAGCATAAAAGTTTAGTATGTGTTGCTGCCCAGTAAAACAAAATCTAACTTTAAGCCAAAAGAATTTGAAATGTATCTGTTTTAGTAAATATAAAATGTATTTGCACTCATCTTGGCCCTGCCCTGGTTTGCCTCCATGTTTGTGGTGCAGATTCGGTTAGTCTACAATAGTAGTTACCACTGCCGAGTGACGTGTGAATGAAGCTGTAAACTGAGTCTTGAAAGTGGCTTTAGTGATGATTTGAGGTTTGGGTGTGTTTGTTTCAGTTTTTGTTCAGTATTGAATATGGTTTAAAGTTATACAAGTTAGAAAAACTCTTAATTATTTGATGCTCATTGTGCTTCAGAACAGGCCTTGAGCTGGATATCACTTGATTGCACTAAAGCTTTGCACACAACCTATTGGCCTTAACTCTATTATATATTTAAAGCCGTATGTTTGTCTCAGTTGAATTGTGCACACTCCAATGGGCCATAATGGCTACTATATATTTACAGTTGTTCAGTAGAAGTGCTTAGCCCACACTCACGCTTATACACAGTAACTACATAAATCAATATCAGCACATTTAGCTTTGCATAAACACAAGTGTAAACAAATAAAGTTAGGGCTGAGTGAGTTCAGCAGAGTTCACCAAAACACCCTGAATCAGCACTTTCACGTCTTCACCAATAACACAGTGTAACGGCTGACCCGAGGGAGCGCCTTTTTACTCCATCACTTCATTAATAACCGTAGTCAGATGTAGGACACGCTTCTCTGTCTGATCTGCATACCTCTCATGTCTATACTTTTATCTACCTTACCATCTGATGCTGCCCGACTGACACCAGAATGCAGAAGGAGGAAGTGAAAAATAACTAGACACATTTACTCACGTCACTTAATCTCGTAGTTAAATATCTTTTGGAGGAAATGATCTTTTACAGTCATTTTTTATTGTCTCAGTGGAACATGGACTGGAATATGCTTGCGTTAGTAGCAGGGGAAATTATCTTGCTTACTAAATAAGCTTTTGTAGCCTTTTTTACACTGATCATAACAGCTACAACCAAATAAAAGAAGTAAATATTGGTTACTTCCCTTCAAAAATGTACTATTTAGCACTGTAAAAAGAATACTTGTGGGGAAATAATAACTTTGACTCATGTAGCTATTTTAGATTTCCACTCCTTTTTTTGCACACCCACCCTAATAGAAAAAGTAGCTTGTTGCAGTAGGCCATGCAACCAATTGTAGTAGGCTCCTTCTTCCATTTGTTTCACAGGTCTGAAACTTTCGCCTCATTTCTGTCATCATTTGGGCTATAAATGGCCACATTGTTTAAGCCGTCTCCTCTCAGCTCAGACGTCTCCTCTTCCTCTTCCTCCCCGTAGCCTCGTTTCACTCTCCTCTTTCTTGTTCATTAAACCGCTGTGACCTCGGGGTGGGGGGCTACACCGGCACCTCTCCGCGCCCCTGCTTGTCATCTCGCTGTGCCCGCTCTTCCTTATTGGGCAAAATGCACACACACACACATACACACACTGCATACAGGTGAGGTGCAAGCGTCTCTCGGTAGCTCGTACGTCGTGGTGAGAGGCAGCTTGTCGGCGGCCGGTACACATGGGTCCTAATTAGTCGGCGGGGCTGGAGAAGAGGATCCCCCAGTACAGAGCCCCAGCCAGTCTGATTAGAATCCAGCTACTGAACGGCCCTCAGGAGACGCCTTCCAGGTCAAATCTCTCCTCTCCTTTTCCCGCGCTATACAACAGTTACTTGGCTTTTTTCCCCCAAATATGAAGAATTCTCAAAGGAGTATGCAAATCACCAAACCCGCGTGTTTCCATGCACACTGGGTGACCTATTTGCACTGCAGCTTGTTAGGCTTAATTGGTATTTGTTAAACTATCTGGGTATTTCATGTTTCAGCAGTTGTACAGGTGCAGGGCGTGATTATGTACTTTTACTCAAGTCAATAATTTACAAAACAACAGTATTTATTACATTTTAAGAACACAGAGCAAGTAACGTGGTATTGGTGCAAATTAGTTCAGACTACTTAAAATTATGAGTAATAACAACAACACAATAGATTGAGTTTAGTTACTCAATAAACTTAAGTAAATCAAAATAATTAAGTTTTCTTATTAATATGTTACCGAACTGGAATTTTATCGCTGGTGTCAACTGAGCTTTAATTTAACACAATTAAATTTTTAAATAAATCAATCAATAAATAAAAAAGTTAGCTAGCATTAGTCAAACTTTTTTTTTTTTTTAGTTAGACACTCTCATCTTTTTGTTGAAAATCAAACACCTAAACAGGACCTTGAAGATCTGTTGTTTTTTTTTGTTTTTTGTTTTTTTGTTTGTTTGTTTTGAGTTTTTTTTTTTGAGTTTTCAGACAGGTAACTACTGAACATTCAACCATAAAGATACATGACAAGATACACCCCACCCCCCCAGCAGATTTTTAAGTATCAATATGGGCCATGTATGTAAGACTCTGGTAATACTAAGGAACTGCACAAAAGTACAACTTGAGTAATATTTTCGCAGCACCTTTAACTGAAATTTTGAAGTAAATTCAAAGCTATTTTACAGAAGTGCATTTACGCTCATGCTACTGGATGCTTAGCGGAGATAACCTCACGAGACCTCAGCCCACAAGCTACACGACAACTGCAGTGTGAATATTGCTCCCATTTGTCCTCCACGTCATTGGAGAGACAGATTTGTGTCATTTAGTGAGTATTGATTTTCCCCCCTGCTTAAAGAGCTGAAAAGGCCAAATCGGAAGCAACTAGTCATCTTTTAAAGTCTTGGCACAAAATGAACTTTTACAAGAAATGAAAAATCCTAGAACATTTGATATAACTTTATGTTTTAACACTTATTCTCTTGCTGTAGGGTCCAGCGACTTTGGCTTGAAGCAGTTAAAGGTCCCAGAGTTGTGTTTTGTTTCAGTCACACATATCTCCAAAGCTCAAAATGCTCTGTTCCACCTTGTGATGTCATGAAGTGGTAGTTTTCAAGTTACAGTTTAGATTTGATACTGTAGGGCAGGATTGTCTCAAATTCATAGAGGGCCAAAATTAAAAACTGGGAGTAAGTCGTGTGTCAAACTAAATATTTATTGAAAAATGCCATCTGCATGTTTTCTTTTCTTTTGAAATATGAAATGTTAAACCTTTTCTTATTAAAATTAATGTGTAATAATAGTTTTCCTTAAACAGTGAATCCAGAACAAGCATAATATAAAATAACAACAAAATTTTAAATAATGTCTACAGCCTATCTGTAGCTGGCTGGTCAGCTCTAATATATATTTGATATGATCTCACGGGCCAAATATAAATATATCACAGGCCAAATTTGGCCCCCGGCCCGAGTTTAACTTGTCTGCTGTAGGGATTGGCAATTACAGGTCTGAATTATCCAAATGATTCTAGTTAAGGTGAACGGAGTTTTAAAACACAGTGGAGCACTTCCTGTATTGGTAAATGACATCACAAGGTGGAAGTGGTGTTAGTGTTTTCTGTCTGAGAAGACAGTTACATGTGTGAATGAAACAAAACATAATTCCAGGTCTGTTTTTGATGAGAAAAACACACTGTAACACACATTGTAAAATAGTGCAATATATATGGGCCATTTAACAGTGACATAACAGAACAGATGAGTAACCAGCTCTACTTAATATTTTGATGAGGGGGATGGGCATC